TCATGGGATATTCCATTCCATTCCATGTGCAGTGCAGTGCAGTGCAGTGCAGTGTAGTGTAGTGCAGTGGAGAGAAGCGTAGTTTAGTGTGGTGTGGTGTATATACATGTATGTATAGTAGTGTATTTCATAAAGTAATGTGTTGTTACGTTGAACAGAGGTCAGATGATAAGCCAAGATGACTACCATGCCATAGCAGATTATGACTGTATGGGAGAAGAAGAAAAAAATATCATCATTCAAAACAAAGGAGAACAGGTATAACTTGGCCCTTGCTTTTTGAGGTTACCACCTACTTACCAGGGGCAACCAAAAGGTTGTGTCTAGATGGGATACTCACAGTCCAGGTGATTGAGAGAGACTAGGGTTAACAAAGTACGTCATAGGTTTCCAAACACAAAGTACGTCATAGGTTTGCAAGTGGGACTTTATAGAAATTTTAGTTCTCTTCACTTAGAAAAAAAATTAAGTGAAGACACCAAGAATCGAAACCCTAACCCTAACCCCTAGACCATGAAGCGAATGTGCTTGGGTGGTCTCATTTTTAGTCATATTTAAACACATAAATATTTATTATATAGCTTAATTTATGCTATCGTAGGGTAACGACTACTAGCAGACTGAATAAAGTTCCCCTTACAATTATACTCTCCCTAGTCTCTCTCAATAACCTGGACTGCGAGTATCCCATCTAGCCGTAACCCAACCAAAATTTGTTGCCAGATTAATTCAATAATTGAATTGGAATTTAGAAGTTGAAAAGGAGGAAAAACTAGAGAACCTGGAGAAAAACCCTCGAAGCATAGAACTCTTAATATTAGTACAACATTATTTTACTAATCATAGCTTCTGAAACTATTTGACAGCTTGCCAAGACTTGTTTATCCTTATTATCAAGACTAACAAGAGATCAAACCATTAGATATATACTAGTCTTAGTGGATGACCTGCTGAATGTAAGTATATTAGACCAAACAAAAATATAAGTGTTTCCTGTTACATGAGAAAAATAATATGGGTCGGTATGTTGGATTTTTTTTACTATTACAACAGTATAAATGAGCTTACCGGGAAGCCTGTGGTGCATTTGGGAATGAAAAAAATATTAGGGTCGGCAAAAGTCGGCAAGAAAATAAGGATCGGTTGCGCAATAGGAAACACACGTATTTTTTTGTTTGGCCTTAATTTTAAAAAGTTTTTAAAAGAAAAGCAGTCAGTATAGATTTGAGCTCAGTGTTGTCTTCCAGAAAAATGTCGTAATTTTTTTATTCAGTTGCATTCTTTATCCCAAAATTTCTCTAGATCCATGAAGAATAGAAATTATAAATGGCATCTCTACTGTACGATATAAAAAAAAGTAACCCACCATGTTTTATTTTTTACATTTACAGGAGGACAAAGGAAGAGTAGCAATTTTCCATGATTTTGCCAAGAAGTATGTAAAATAATAATGATGTCAGTACATCTTTAACAAATATATCATAAGTATGCATGTCTCTGTACTGTGATATAAACATGCTGGGAGCTGTAGAGCACAAGAGAAGCAAGCTTAGGAACACACGGATTAGCTTTTCAAGTGTTCACTGTACAGCTCCCAGAACGTTTATATCACAATGCAGATATATTACTTTTATAAAATACAGTATGAAGTAGATATTGCTTATTTGGGCTTCATGCAACCAGCACCCACCCTGGTCTGCAGAGGTTATATTTTCATTTGCTGTGGCTGTAACATGTGAGTGCCTTGCAACTACCTGTCTAAATAGCAAAGACCAGAACAAGAATAGATAATCTCTGGGCCCCAGGGTAACTACAGTATCTAGCTCCAGATTAATAGAGGATATTACATGGGCGCGCGGAGATACGAATTTTATCTTCAAGTGTTGAAAAGATCTTCAAAAGATATTTTCAACACGAGAAGATAAAATTCGTATCTCCGCGCGCCCATGTAATATTCTGTTCATTATATGATTATCAATGAACTATGTTTTGGCTTTTTCAGGCAATTCTTTCCTTGTATTTTTGAATAGCCATCGCAATGGTGTTATTTTCACACGTGAAAATAACATGTTATTTTCACGTGTGAAGATATCAATTTTTCGAAATAGAGAAAAATAGATATTTCATTGGTAATTATATAATAAAATAAGGTTATTATAAAGTTTCTTTTTTTTGTCTTTCAAGAAATAATGTCAATCTGTGGTCATCGTTTTTTGGTCTGCTTAACAGACAAGATCAGTTTATTATCAACCAGGTAAGCTTTGCCAGACACTAGATGGTATTTTATTTTTTAATCAATAGTACATGTATTTAAAGACCAGGATTAATAATTCAAATAGAAAGAAAGTTGTAACAAATGTGAGTAGACCTATCCTGAATTCGCTTGACTGACCACAAAACAATGGTTTGAAGTTGAGACTGGACTTGATTCTTTTATTCATCAAGTTCAACCTTGACTTGAAACCATTGTTTCGTGACCAGTCAAGCAAATTCGGGAAAGGTCTGTTGATTGAGTTTCTGCAGGGTCAAGTGAACCAGCATATGCACTCTATGATGATAGTGATAATGATAATGGTGATAGTAGGGGGGATGATTGACTGAATATGATCATAATGATTACAGAGCTTGACGATGATGATGATGATGGTGATAGAGATGGTAGTGATTTATTTATTTATGCAATCATTAAGAACCTGGGACATACTGTATAATGATGGTGATGAGGTAGATAGTGATGATAACGATGGTGAAGATCAAAATGATGATCATAATAACAGTGTTGATGATAAGGATTGTGGTGATGGAAGTGTTAGTGATCACAATGATAACAATCACAAAGGTTTTGGGACTGATGATCATGATTATATTGATGGTTGTGAGGCTGATAATGATGATAATGATGTTGATGATAATGATGATGATGATAATGATGATGATGATGATAATGATGGTTGTGAGGCTGATAATGATGATAATGATGTTGATGATGATGATGATGATAATGATGGTGATGCTGATGATGATGATGAAGATAATGATGGTGGTGAGGCTGATGATGATGATGATAATGATGGTGATGATGAGAATAATGATGATAATGATAATGATGCAGAAAATAATAATGCATTTAAAAGTTTATTTTTCATGTTGTTGCTTTGATTGTAGGCTGCTGTCATTACAGCTAAACTGGCATGTTGGGGTAAAGCACGACTGCCTGATAATGAGCTGAATTTCTTCTTGAAGTGGCTCAAGGATCAACTAACAAGCCCAGTAAGTTTCAGTGTTTTCTATACCCTGGCATACACCTCAATGACCATCTTTAACCTAAGAAGTGATTCAGACAAAAGCTTTTCATGTGCTGAATACTAATTGAATTTTTAGGCTGCCTCTCACTCATTGACTCACTCATTCAATTGTCTCCCTTTTTCTCTCCTTTCTCCCTTCCCTCCCTCCCTCCTTCCATCCTTTTTTTCTTCCTTGCTTCCCTCACTCCTTGCTTCCCTCACTCCTTCCTTCCTTCCTCCTTCCTTCCT